AAAAAAAAACTTTATTATTGAGAATTTTCGAGTCTAAAACTGTGCAAACTTGATGGAAAATACAACCAAATTGAAAATCTTTTTCTACAAGTAAGCCGCTTTAACAAAGTATAGATAGGAAAAATATCGATTTCCCTCACGGGTTTCGGTTAAGGTTGCTTACTCTTAAAATTCGCTGTTTTTGAGTAACCAGAAGAAAAATTTTGCGCCATGCATGAGCTGAAAGTAATTATTTTGACACTATGAATCTGTATTTCACTGTAATATTCTGTCACGATTAAATATCAAAAAGTGGAGAAATTGCCAACTGCACCAGTGTTGAGAAGTGCAATGGCGAAGCAACAGCCGATCAAAGTAGTTGCGACGCCAAAATACCCACATAATTATATAACGCAGTGATTTCAAATAAAAATAACGAGCTTTATTCGATCACACTAAAGCAAAGCTAAAAACGTGGTACGTGAGTTGTTGGTTTGAGTGTTGTTCCTCTAAAAACCAAAAATCGTCTGCGAGTCCGATTTTCAGTAGAACCAGGTCTACCAATATAGCTATCGCAATCTCGACAGTCATAAGGATCACGGCCATGTAAACCTGGACGAAAACGACCTCCTTTGCGGCCACGCTGAGAGCGAACAGTTTGCGCAATTGCCATAAGAAGTACACAGAGAAATATCACTTTAATTATTCGGGGCATACTGAATTTTGTATGGGCGCGTCCTGAAATCACGACATAAATCACGATAGTTACCGGCGAGCCAGCACGTCGTACCAGACATTTGCAATTAGCTTATGTCGAGACACGTCATGATTTTCGAGTTCCACGAGTGCGACACGAATTTGAATCCGAAGTTATCAGTGAAAAACATGTGAGTTTAAATTTTCCATGTGTCAAATTACACTGTAAAAAAAATTCAAATTCCTAACTGCTCACACTAGACGGATAGGGAAGCGAGGAGGAGTGGGAAGGGCTTTTTTTGAACCCCTCCCCCCCGCCCTTTGTCGCCGGAATAAATACAAAAATTTGCCCTCCTAGTCTTCACGGCTCTGGTTTTTTAATAAGTTTTGCGCTCCAACTCTTAAATTTCAGTGTTCAAAATCATGCCAAAAATCAGTTTCTGAAAATAAGTCTTACTCCGCCGACACAGCACGGTAAGAAATGATATCACCGTCGTATAAAAAACCGAGAGATCCGATTGAGAGGAAGGATTTTGTGTCTTGCATAAGCTTGAGGCGTTAATTTGAGTTGCATTTTGTTGTGGTACCCGGTCACGATTAGAATATCGAAGAATGAAGAATTTGCCAGTCGCATCAGTGGCGAGATACGCGGTGATGAAACAACAGCTGAACAAAGTAACTACATCGCCACGGCAACAAGACATGTAAATTACAAACCGAGATATGTTCAAGCAAAAATCATTAGCTTTATTCGAACGCATTACAGCAAAGCTATAAATTTTACATGTGAGTTCTTGGTTTGGGAGTTGTTCCTCTAAAAACCAAAAATCGTCTGAAGGGTACTACTTCGACAAAACCAGATTCATCAGTATAGCCAGCGCAGTTCGGACGGACACCTTTCGGACCATGTTGACTATGTTGACCAGGAAGAAAAGGTTTTCCTTTGCAACCGTAGCGAATTCTCCAATCATATTGGGAATAAGCAGTTTGTGCAGCTGCCATAAGAATCGCAAGGAGAAGTATCACTTTGATTATTTGGTGCATGTTGAATTTTGTACCGATATGCTCTGAAATTATGAACATAGACGGCGAAAGGTACCAACAGGTCGATATACTACACTAAACATTCGAAATTAGCTGATGTCGAGACATACCGCGATTTTCGAGTTCAAACATATGTTCAAACATTCCGAATATGTAACTTTTAAAAAATCTTACTAGATACTCTAGGACTGCGGTGTGACTTTGAATCCGAGGCTATCGATGATGAAAGATTGCGAGTTCAATTCTACCACGCACAAATTAACCGCGAAAAAATTTTAAATTAGCTTCTGCCCTGATTGGAGAGATAAGAAAGCAAGAATGTGTCGAAGACTTTTTCAACACACCTTCCTGATCCTAGAGCAAATCCGAAAATTCATTTCTCAGTTCCGATTTTTAGTTAATTTTTATTTTTTAAAGCTTAAAGTCGGATGTAGGTAGTAAGAAGTCAGAAATTGTGCATATGTATAAATAAAAAAATTAATAAAAATAAAATATACAGTTCAGCAGCTAGTAAACGGCAGCATCAGCACATTAAGCTGTAATACAACTCAGTTTAGCAAAACGTTGATCTTCATTTTCCTCCGTTCCAAGTCAAGGTAGCAACTTGAATATGGTCAAAGTGACAGTAAGTAGACGGTGATAGGATTGAAAATGAAAATTTCAGTTTTACGGTCCGGTAGAGGCTTCGATCTCAAAATTCCGCCTAACTTCGGTTGTTCTGGAACTCAGTTACTTGCTCACAGTGACTGACGCTCACATATATGGACATTAGCGCACACACTTTTGCTACTCAACAGGACACATCAGAAATTATGCAAAACTCTTAAAAACTGAAAGTGTTTGGCGCTAGTGGGTCGAGCGATCGACGAATTTTGGCCGAACGAAATTCGGATCTGCAAATGTTCGAATATTTCAGGGGAAGGATGGGGGTTTTAAACGCAGAGCGTGGCAGCCGCATTATTAGTTGGAGCAGGAATGTGTTTGTTCAGCTGATTTAATCGACTTTTGATGGCAAAAAAAGAACTTGAAATTGCTGATTTGCCCCGACAGGGGGGAACAGCCAAATTCTAAGAGTAAGGCCAACTCGGCTTTGCACAGCTGACAGTGAATCCAGGGAAGTAAATCGGCGAACTAAGCTTGCACTCTACTTATGGAACTACTGCATTTTGGGCACTCCGTGACAAGAGTGGGAAAACTACAAGATGCAGTATTGCTTACTTTGATACTTTGTTTAGCTACAACTCGTAGCACAGGTTCTTCAGCTTGTCGCCTCCGAAGGACTGACATGAACTATTCTTCCTGTAGAAGCATTAAGCACACCACATTGAACCCAAACCTTCCTGTGTTTCCCTGTCCCCTATTCGCTCGTTGTGAGAGGTAGAAGCACTTGGGAAGTAGCCCAGAAAAACGCCAATGCTGGCGAGACTTTCGATGGTTATTTAGAAGCAAGCTGATGGCGAATATGACACATACTGACACCTATTTACCAAATTAGTGGTGTTGTGGAAGGATTGGCTGGCCCACTATTGCAGCATAAAAGGAGTTAGATGACGCGCTAAGTTTGTAATAAAACTGATAACATTTACTAGTATCGAATAGATTTATCACCTGCGCCACGGCATCAAGCAGTCTAGAACCATAACAGTTAAATAAATACAAATAGCTAGATTGGAAGCCATTAGAAATCACAACGGATAAAATCAGGAATTCAATTTCCGAAAAGTCATTTTCCAAATCTGCATCAGAGTTTCAAAGTAAACATATCTTCATTCTTAACCACTTCATAATATTTTTTTTAAGATAGCTATCCTTCTCCATTTCTCCACTTTGTACTTTTGTATCAAGGAATGCCAATATCGTTGGAGTTGGTATGGGGATCCAAGCTGGCGGGCAAAACCACTTTTTGCAGTAAAGCATGGACGGAGAGAGAATCGAACCATTCGTCTTCAAATCCGAATGCAATGTGCTAAAACACTGTGCTGGCGAGTATTGAAGTAATTTTTACTGCATGTCAGAAATTACAAATACAGTACCTTTTCTCTGGCCTTCCATAAATAGTGCATTTTTGTTGTTAACGGCTTTTTTGTCGGCTTTTTGCAGGTTTTCCGCAAAATAGTATGTTATTGAGTTTTTACCATACTGGGTGCACTC